TCTGATCTGTGCACAGAATAACCCGGGTAGGCCGAGGTCTCTGGCACAAGCAGCTCACCCAGCTCCTACAAGACCGTTTGAACATGTCATGATGGACTTCATTGAATTAACACCCAGTGAAGGGAAAAAATGTTGTCTTGTAATGGTGGATATGTTTTCAAAGTGGGTTGAAGCTTTCCCTGCAAAACATGCGTCCTCCGCTACAGTAGCAAAAGCCATTTTGACTGAAATTCTTGTAAAATGGGGAATTCCTCAGAAGTTGTCCAGCGATAATGGGTCGCATTTTGTTAATGAAGTGATAAAACAACTGTCTGATTATTTGAAATTTGATTTGAAAACTCACTGCAGCTATCACCCACAATCTGGTGGGGCTGTGGAGAGAGAAAATTTCACAATAAAATCAAAACTGGCCAAATGCTGTCAGGAAACAAACCTTAGCTGGCCAAAATGCTTGCCAATTGTCCTGATGTACATGCGAATGAGAGTGCGCACGCGTAACAACCTGTCCCCATTTGAGATTTTGTTTGCAGCTCCCCCCAACGTAGGAATGGGACCTGCGGGACCTCAACCAGATGCCATCCTGTGCGAGGATGGCATGATAAGGTATTGTATAACCCTAACAAAGTCTCTTTCTGATATCAGAAGACAGGTGTCATCGGCCCTTCCCCAGCGGGCGGACCATCCACTTCACAACATCCAACCCGGCGACTTCGTCCTGATAAGGAACTTCAAGCCAAAGAGCTGGAATCACCATCGCTGGCTTGGCCCATTCCAAGTTCTCCTCGTCACTCACACCGCTGTGAAAGTCCAGGAGAGGCAGACCTGGGTCCACGCATCGCACTGCAAACAAGTCCCAGCTCTTCTTGCGGAGCGTACAACGGAAGCATAAGGAGGATCTTACCCCCTCCCAACGCGAAAGGAGGGTCACACACACACTGCCCCCTCCCAACGTAAAACATTGTTAGAAATACATTGTTAGCTGCATCAGGAGAAAAGTGCTGGTAACTACACTCCTAGGTCATAGATGAGCAGAAGATAGGTAACACAAGAAGATCAACAAGTGACAATCCAAGTCCAGGATGCACAACGGCCGGGAGCACGGTCCCTGGCATCCATTCAGGCAGCAGGGCTTTTGCGGGATGAGAAAGACTTTGTGTGTGCTCATGTTCATTTCCTTCCTCATTGTGTTTCCACTGTTATGGTTTGAAGGTCGGGAGAATAAAAAGGACAATCAAACACAGGTCGTTGTCAATTACACTTCTAACACCTCTTCATTTACATCAAACGTGTGAAGAGGGAAGATGTGGCCGAAATGGATTTTGCGTGGTCACGTGTTTTGGCTCAGTCAATGAATCACACCAGCGTGTACACACTTAATTTGTGGTATCAATATGCAAAATTCTTAGCAGAGTCACAAAATCGCTCAAATTGTTACATTTGTACTCATATGCCTATTGCATCATCAAACCCACACATCACACCTCTACCAATGGTCGATGCATTTACACATTTTCCAAAGATTCTGTATTCATCTGTCTCTGTTGATTATTTCAATGAGACCGTCACAAAGCGTACAGGTAAATGTCTCCCCCCACTCAAACCGGCTGTTAGTTCTGATTTCTTCAATTATTGGTTTAATGATGTATTAGATCCAATTTTTGGCCCGGTACATATCAGACCTGGTACTAAATTTGTATGTTACACTCTATCCATGACCATTACAGATTCTCCTATACAGATGGGACGGATCCCTATGTCATTTTGTTTAAATGTGTCTAACCCGTGTACTTCTTTTCATGGTAATTCAAGTTTAAACACTTCTCAGGCCGCTCCGGGTAGTACATGTGCTCCATACTTCACGGTTCCTGACTCAACAGGGACTAATCCTCTGAAGGGTGTTTTGTGGCTGTGTGGCTTCAATGTCTATGTGAAGCTACCATTTAATTGGATAGGTCGTTGTGCTCTGATGATAGCTTCAGATCACTCTTACATCATCTCTACCATTCCTAGATCGCGAGGTAAGCGCGATTTTGCTGCTCATGATGCAGTTTGGGGGACGGACGTTCCAGATGATCACAAACTGTGGACCAAGCCAACAAAAGTACTTCTCTCCTTGTTCCCCCAGGTCGGTGTAGGGAAGGTTATGCTTAGAATGGAAACCTTGAATTATCGGTTTTCAAGTTTTGTGAATTCAACTGTAACTATTCTAGAGGCCAACAGAGTAGAAGTAAATGCGTTGCGTGCCGTTGCTTTACAAAACAGGATTGTTTTGGATCATTTGGTTGCCTCAAGTGGAGGTGTTTGTGTTTTACTTAATCAGACCGCTTGTTGTACTTATATTCCTGATAACAGTGCCGATGATGGGATCATTGCACAGGGTATTCGAAATCTAACCACTTTGCGCGATGCGGTTAACCGTGATTTTGTTCTAGATGCTTCATGGTTTTCAGACTGGCGAGCGTGGTTGGTTCAAATAGGTACTGGACTTGGAGTAATATTAGTACTGCTAATAGTGCTGTCATGTTGTGTCATTCCTTTGATCCGTTCATTGATCCGACGTATGATCTCGTCGACACTCGTTCAACACACTTCTCTTAACCTGCATGTTGACTGTCTTGATGAGGACAGTGATCCATTTAGTGAGATGTTACTTGATGATTTTGAGTAAATTGGTTTGTATGTCTAACCCATTTTATGACGGATTTTCTTAAACCTACTAGGTGTGAAAGTTTTGATGTTCCGGGGTTTATTATATTTTACTTATATTTTACTTATATTTTACTTATATTTTACTTATATTTTACTTATATTTTACTTGATATATTTCATTTACTTATATTTTACTTATATTTTACTTATATTTTTAGTACTTGATATATTTTTAGTACTTAATAGCATGTGTGTGATTGATTTAAGATAATCAAAGGGTGGATTGTTATGGCCAGATTCCCGGCACAAGATATTCTAATCATTTAGGTCGATACATGCGTCTTCTTTCCCAGCGTCTGAAAACCCGCTTCCCATCACTGTTTGAAACATTAGCACAAAGGGCCTCTTGTTCAGCGATAGCCTTGGTCACCATCTGCATGGGCCTATCTCAAATGTACTCACAGCGTGTTCCTTCTTATCAAATTCGAAGGTCCTTTCAGTGCGCTTAATGTATCTCCCAAACTTTCCCGTCTGCAGCTGCGTATGACTCATCTCTCTTGTGACGAATGCTCATTGTTCTGTCTGACACACCTCCAGTATAAGATCATAAGACATGTTTGTTGGGGAGAAGAGACAGACGCGGCATCGCTCCAGGTCCCGCTTCTGTTTGACTCTTTTCTGCGCAGAAAATGTCATTTTTGTACTCATCACTTCTGTGAATAAAACTGCACCAAAGGACAAGTTTGTTTCCTCTCGGTTTCATTCATTTGAGGCAATAGAATTTCCATAACAGTTTCCCATAGACCTTTGCGAGTTTCCCATAGACCTTTGAGAGTTTCCCATAGATCTTTGCGAGTTTCCCATAGATCTTTGAGAGTTTCCCATAGACCTTTGCGAGTTTCCCATAGATCTTTGAGAGTTTCCCATAAATCTTTGAGAGTTTCCCATAGATCTTTGCGAGTTTCCCATAAATCTTTGAGAGTTTCCCATAGATCTTTGCGAGTTTCCCATAGATCTTTGCGAGTTTCCCATAGATCTTTGCGAGTTTCCCATAAATCTTTGAGAGTTTCCCATAGATCTTTGCGAGTTTCCCATAGATCTTTGCGAGTTTCCCATAGATCTTTGCGAGTTTCCCATAGATCTTTGCGAGTTTCCCATAAATCTTTGAGAGTTTCCCATAGATCTTTGAGAGTTTCCCATAGATCTTTGAGAGTTTCCCATAGACCTTTGCGAGTTTCCCATAGATCTTTGCGAGTTTCCCATAGATCTTTGCGAGTTTCCCATAGATCTTTGCGAGTTTCCCATAGATCTTTGCGAGTTTCCCATAGATCTTTGCGAGTTTCCCATAGATCTTTGCGAGTTTCCCATAGATCTTTGCGAGTTTCCCATAAATCTTTGAGAGTTTCCCATAGATCTTTGCGAGTTTCCCATAGATCTTTGCGAGTTTCCCATAGATCTTTGCGAGTTTCCCATAGAGCTTTGCGAGTTTCCCATAGAGCTTTGCGAGTTTCCCATAGAGCTTTGCGAGTTTCCCATAAATCTTTGAGAGTTTCCCATAGATCTTTGAGAGTTTCCCATAGACCTTTGAGAGTTTCCCATAGATCTTTGAGAGTTTCCCATAAATCTTTGAGAATTTCCCATAGATCTTTGCGAGTTTCCCATAGATCTTTGCGAGTTTCCCATAGATCTTTGCGAGTTTCCCATAGATCTTTGCGAGTTTCCCATAGATCTTTGCGAGTTTCCCATAGATCTTTGCGAGTTTCCCATAGATCTTTGCGAGTTTCCCATAGATCTTTGCGAGTTTCCCATAGATCTTTGCGAGTTTCCCATAGATCTTTGCGAGTTTCCCATAGATCTTTGCGAGTTTCCCATAGATCTTTGAGAGTTTCCCATAGATCTTTGAGAGTTTCCCATAGATCTTTGCGAGTTTCCCAGAGATCTTTGCGAGTTTCCCATAAATCTTTGAGAGTTTCCCAGAGATCTTTGAGCGTTTCTCGTAGATCTTTGAGAGTTTCCCATAGATCTTTGAGAGTTTCCCATAGATCTTTGCGAGTTTCCCATAGATCTTTGAGAGTTTCCCATAGATCTTTGAGAGTTTCCCATAGATCTTTGCGAGTTTCCCATAAATCTTTGCGAGTTCTAGGCGACTTCCGCTAATCTTTCAGCCCCCATGCCGTCACAAAGCGCCACTGAGCACAACCATTCATTTGAATACGGCGCCATCTTGGATCGCCGGGGCTTGGATTTGACGTGGTGTTATTGTAAAGCACTTTGGTCGCCTTGACTGTTGTAAATGGCTATATGAATAAAGTTTTTATTGATGTGATCGGCTCGCTGTGGGGTGTATGGACCTGTAAACGGCCGGGAACATGTCCGGCTGCAGGAGGTGGACGAACAGCAGGTGAGCCACGCAGGCCAGAGACTCCTTGGGGTACCGCACCTCCTCCTCCAGAAACCCCGGGGTCCTCCTGTGTCGGAGCAGCGGCTGGTGGACGAGGGCGGGGAGCGGCTCTCCTATGGACCCCAGGCTCAGCTGAGGAGCAGAAGGGAGAGACTTTAATGATAATAATAATAATAATAATAATAGTAATAATAATGCATCAAACTTATCACACTGGAAAAAATATGAGGAAATACATTTTTGTCTTAATCTGACTGTGTTAAGAATCTTTAGTCTTATTGGGGCGACAGTGGCTCAGTTGGTAGAGCATTTGGCCTTTGAACCTGAAGGTTGTTGGTTCGATCCCACCACAAAACATTCTGATGTCTACTGCCATTGTGTCCCTGGGCAAGACACTTCACCCACATTGAGAGAACTGCCAAGAATGAGTCTGGTGTGTGTGGAAAGGGTTAGGGTTAAAAAAATCATATGTAAAACCAATACTTATTATTATTTAGAAATTATGCTTTATTTTCTCATTCCAAAGGAGACATTTTTGTATCTTTTTGAAATAGGATCGTTTTGTTTTGTCCCGTTGGAAAATGTTGTAAAATTAAGCAATTTTTGTCTTTTGTACATCACTCTTTGCCTGTGGCTGTAACATGTGTTAAACTGTTAACCTGTGACATCACAACAGGAGACAGACCAGGTGAGCAGATTGATGGTGTTTTTACCAGAATACTGGAGGCAAAGTCCCTGAGAGGAGACTCTGGTAACGTTTCCTGGTCTTTGAGCTGGACTCCCAACAGCAGCCGACTCAGCACCTGCATACAACTGCCCAGGAGAGACACCATGAGAGAGACCATGGGGAGGGACCATGAGAGAGACCATGGGGAGGGACCATGAGAGAGACCATGGAGAGACCATGAGAGAGACCATGGGGAGGGACCATGAGAGAGACCATGGAAAGAGACCATGGAAAGAGACCATAAAGAGGAATATTTAGAGGGACCATGGAGAGGGACCATGGAGAGGGCCCATGGAGAGGGCCCATGGAGAGGAACCATGGAGTGGAACCATGGAGAGGGACCATGGAGAGGAACCATGGAGAGGAACCATGGAGAGGAACCATGGAGAGGACCATGGAGAGGAACCATGGAGAGGGACCATGGAGAGGGACCATGGAGAGGGCCATGGAGAGGAACCATGGAGAGGAACCATGGAGAGGAACCATGGAGAGGGACCATGGAGAGGGACCATGGAGAGGGACCATGGAGAGGGACCATGGAGAGGAACCATGGAGAGGAACCATGGAGAGGAACCATGGAGAGGAACCATGGGGAGGGACCATGGAGAGGGAACATGGAAACTACGTATAGTCTTCAGTACACAATAATTTCACATTATCGCTTCACTTACAACTTGAGCAGTTCTGTCCGCAGCTCGTCCTCCTTCTGTGGCAGCGCTCTCTCCAGGTCTCCCATCACCAGTGTGCCCGGGTCTCTCCCCTCTGCGCTGTGCTGGTCTCGGGCCTCCTCCACAAAGGGCCGAATGAAGGCCTGGAGCTCGGAGCAGCAGCGGCAGAGCGAGAAGACGTCGTCCTGCTCCTGCTCCGGCGTCATGGGCAGTGGGAGTTTACAGACCTGGTCCAAGACTGAGCTCAGAGCCAGACCCAGGGACGAGGACTTACGGACCCCCAGACTCAGCAGCACTGAGGGGGGAGAGAGGGAGGGAGGGAGGGGGAGAGAGAGAGAGGGAGAGAGAGGGGGAGGGAGAGAGAGGGAGAGAGAGGGGGAGGGAGAGAGAGAGGAGAGAGAGGGAGAGAGAGGGGGAGAGGGAGAGAGGGAGGGAGAGGGGGAGAGAGAGGGGGAGGGAGAGAGAGGGGAGAGAGAGGGGGAGGGAGAGAGAGGGAGAGAGAGGGGGAGAGGAGAGAGGAGAGAGGGAGGGAGAGGGGGAGAGAGAGGGGGAGGGAGAGAGAGGGGGAGAGGGAGAGAGGGAGGGAGAGGGGGAGAGAGAGGGGGAGGGGGAGAGGGGGAGAGAGAGGGGGAGGGAGAGAGAGGGAGAGAGAGGGGGAGAGGGACGGGGAGAGGGAGGAGGAGAAGGATAGAGGGAGAGAGAGGGAGAGAGAGGGAGAGGGGGGGGAGAGAGGGAGAGAGGAGAGAAAGGGGGAGAGGGGGGGGAGAGAGGGATAGAGAGGGAGAGAGAGGGGGGAGAGAGAGAGAGAGAGAGAGAGGGAGAAAGGAGAGAAAGGGAGAGGGAGAGCAAGACAGAGAGACACACACAGAGAGAGAAAGGGCCAGGACAACACTCATTTAAAGAACTTACATTTTTTATTTTATTTGTCAGTTAGATCTTTATGAGATTTTATTGTAATTAATGATTATTGTGGTCCGTGGGAGCGGATCACTCTCTCAATGTGGACCTCCCTGAGATTTATCACTTTTTTATGGACTTTTTTATCAAAGCATTTCCTGAGTTTGAACTCTTTGATTCTCTGATCTGTGTTGGCCAAATAACTAATGTTGTGATTTAGGGCTACACAAACACAAAAACACCCCGGGACCTTCTTAGTGTGAGGCAAACTGAAACGCAAAGTGTCGTGTGCTTCACCTTTCTGCAGAGGTCCCAGCAGCAGGAGCAGACTCTGAGCGACGCTTTCTGGATCGTCCTGCTCCAACTGCTCCAACAAACCAATCAGCAGCTCCTTAGGGCGACACACCTACACACACAGACACACACAGATACACACACAGATACACAGACAGATACACACACAGATACACAGACAGATACAGATACACACACAGATACACAGACAGATACAGATACACAGATACACACACAGATACACAGACAGATACAGATACACACACAGACACACACAGATACACAGACAGATACACACACAGATACACAGACAGATACAGATACACAGATACACACACAGATACACAGACAGATACAGATACACAGATACACACACAGATACACAGACAGACACACACAGATACACAGACAGATACAGATACACAGATACACACACAGACACACACAGATACACACACAGACACACACAGATACACACACAGATACACACAGATACACAGACAGACACACACAGATACACACACAAATACACAGACAGATACACACACAGATACACAGACAGATACACACACATAGACACAGAGATACACACACAGATACACAGACAGATACACACAGATACACAGACAGATACACACAGATACACAGATAGATACACAGACAGATACACACAGATACACAGACAGATACACACACAGATACACAGAGATACACACACAGATACACAGACAGATACACACAGATACACAGAGATACACACACACAGATACACAAATCAGAATCAGAATCCTTTTACTGCAATGTGAGTAACAGGAAGTCACAAACTAGGAAATAGCTTTGACTCTCAGTGAAACAAGTTACATCAGAATAAAATCATAATCAAAGGCATAAATAAAAATCTACATTAATGTCTTCAGTTTACTAGATACAGATACACAAACACACACAGAGATGTACACAGAGATACACACACACACACACACATAGATGTACACACAGATACACACACATAGATACACAAATACACCGATTCACACACAGATACACACACACACACATAGATGTACACAGAGAGACACACACACACACACACACACACAGAGATACACAGATACACACACACACACAGATGTACACAGAGATACACACACACACACACACACACACACACATAGATACACAGATTCACACACAGATACACACACAGATGTACACAAAGATACACACACAGATGTACACACACACAAAGATACACACGGCGATACACACGCAGACACACACACACATACATACACACATAGATGTACACACAGATACACAGATATACACACATACACCGATTCACACACAGATACACAGACACACACATAGATGTACACAGAGAGACACACACAGAGATACACAGATACACACACACACACAGATGTACACAGAGATACACACACACACACACACACAGATGTACACAGAGATACACACACACACACACACACACACACACATAGATACACAGATTCACACACAGATACACACACAGATGTACACAAAGATACACACACACACAAAGATACACACGGCGATACACACGCAGACACACACACAAAGATACACAGACACACAGATATACACACAGATACAGACACACACACACACACACACAGATACATACACACAATGACACACAGACACATGTGTGTGTGTGTGTTGACCATGATTTTACATATGTATTAAATACTCATAAGAACATTTAGCATATCATGAATCATTTTTACACCACACTATATTGACATTTGGTCATTCTGGCCTCTATACCGACCTCTATCAGGTGTTTGAAAATGGCCAGACAGTGAGGCAGGTTCTGGTCGTCCTTCTTCAGTAGAACCTGGATCAGAGGCGGCAGCAGGTTCCAGCCCATACACTGCACTATGTCCTGGAACGGAACAAAACTGCAGCTTTTTAAACAACTTCTAGTCCTCTGTAAACCAAAAAACAATCATGAGATACACTCTGGAATGCATGTGTTCTATCCATTGTTTTGCATTCAAATTGTAGGCAATGCTTTAGAATTGCTTTCATGAATTTACAGCTAATTGTGTCCCCTTTAAAGACCTTATGCCGGGTTTTTTTTTTTAAATTGTGGATATCAAAATTGCATGACAATGTCAATCTGAAAGAGATTCCGGCAAAAAAAATCCTATATTTTATAAAAAGAACGTGTTTTTCATGAATTTAAGCTGTCTATGCTCTAACCTGTGTGTGTAGCGGGTAACACCCATGCATTGAAAACCATGGATCTATGCCACAGGACTGCCTTTTCTCTCTTCTCTCCACTGATGCCCAACACAATACTGCCCTCTACAGGTGACAATTGCTCACTACACATAAATTGCCGTTTGAGAGTGAAAAAGTGTCTGAGGTGGGATTTGAACCCCAGTGTCTGGATTGGTAGTCCATCGACACAACCACTGGACTATCTCAGTGACAACAAAGATTTACAATCTAGTATTTATGTCAGACTTGCTGTACACGGCCTTGTCATCTTGAATATCCGCGAAAAAAGAACGAATACCAAATTGTAAACAACTTACAGCGTTGAAACGTACCCACTCTGACGTCACCAAGGGCTGTGAAGTTTTTTTGTCTCTAAGGGCGTTGCTATGGGGTTATTTCGATTTGGGGGGATCAGACAAAAAAAACAACTGATGTTGAAACCTTTAGTAGTTCTCTTCTAATATAAAATGGTATTAAAACTGTATTTCTAAATAAATCAAACCCGTCATAAGGTCTTTAACTTTAACAATAACTTTAACCCAAACCCACAGTTAGGTCTTGGTTTCCTGTATATGGGCAATTGGGCATACAGAATTTATATACAAATGTTGAGGTTATTTTAGCCGGATACTGTAATTCCAACAGAGAAAACATGGAAATATTCTGTATTTTGATGAAGAAAATTGTATGTCATAATAATAAAAAAAAACATCAACAAAAATGAAGAAGGCCGTGTAGAATAAGGACTGCTTCAATTCAATTCAACTTTACAAAACCGTTGATTCGCCAACACAGATCGGAGCATCAAACCGTACAAAGTTATTACTGAGACCTTGTTGTTTTCCTGGATTTGCAAAGAATAAAAAACATATTTGTGAATGAATTCGAGCGTGTACCTGGTTCTTCTCGTCGAGCACGATGCTGAGCAGCTGCAGACTGTTGCCCTCCTCCACACAGGCTCGACCCGCGACCGTGAACACATCGTAGTCCTCTGTGCTGTAGCCGTCTTCAGGCAGAGATTGCTACAATAAAACAGAGATCAAAGGGTTTACTGTCACGATAAGGCAAGGCAAGTTTATCTGTATAGCACAATTCATACACAAGGCAACTCAAAGTGCTGAACAAAACAAGAAAGCATTAAAGTAAAAAATAATGCATTAAAAGAAAGATAAAAATATAAAATCCCTCAGTTGTATGCACAGCTAAACAGAACTGTTTTTAACCTGGTTTTAAACAGTTGTGTATCTGTGTGTGTGATAAAATAAATCACAATATGTTAAAAAGATGTATTGCAATAAACAGTTGTATTGAAACTTGTATTTGTCATGGCCTCGCATAAGAGTGGAGGACTGGCCTCCTGCTGGGACTCTGAGGAGCACAGGGACTGGCCTCCTGCTGGGACTCTGAAGAGCACAGGGACTGGCCTCCTGCTGGGACTCTGAAGAGCACAGGGACTGGCCCCCTGCTGGGACTCTGAAGAGCACAGGGACTGGCCTCCTGCTGGGACTCTGAAGAGCACAGGGACTGGCCTCCTGCTGGGACTCTGAAGAGCACAGGGACTGGCCTCCTGCTGGGACTCTGAAGAGCACAGGGACTGGCCTCCTGCTGGTCCCAGAGTCAGGACTAAACATGGAAAGGCTTCATTTCAGATTCATGCAGCTAAAATCTTCCTGAAAATGTGAGACAGGCTTCTTCTCTGACAACGTTCAAATCCAAGTTAAAGCAGCTCTGTTTAGCTGCAACAACTGAAGGACTTTATCTTCACTACATTAAAAGTACTGTGATTATTTGTGATTTTAACGCCTTGTGTGATTTTTTTTCCATCTTGGTTGTTAAGCACTTTGAGTTGCCTTGTGTAGGAACTGTGCTATACAAAAAACTTGCCATGCCTTGCCTAATTGCCTAAGACATTTTTACAATACTTAAATCTCCATCACTGTGACCTGAATTGGTTGTGGTCATTTTCAAGAATTTTATTTCAGTAGGAGGAAAAGTGCCAATAAAACTCTTTTGATTCATTATTTTCTACTGGCCAACATCATGCATATGTGTCTGGAATATTCACCAACATGTATGGGAAAATAATGGGATTACAGTTGATTATATACTAATTACAGAGACATTCGCTCTCAAATATTTTCTCGACTTGCCTCAGCTAAACTATAGACTCTATGCAAAGTGGTGATGTCACATGAACATAATCTATTGACATTAGATAAACAACAGAATTAACCAAAACAACCAGACTACACAAAAAAATACTTTGCAAAAAACATGCTAGACACTATTAATTAAGCACCAAATTATAATACATATAATGCACATGTCCATAGAGAGACTCAGATGTTATTTCTAGGATAATAAATAATGTAGATGAGGGAATCAGAAAGCCCTACATTGACTTACACATTTTTGGACCACTTCACTGAGCTGATCCAAAGCCATCTCTGAAGTTTTGTACAATTTCTCCCGTCAAAAACCTCTACTTCTAATACAAAATGTCCCAATATACAGAGTCATCAACTGAACATAGATAACCCCAAAGCAAAACTAAATTTGGAGTTACAAGGGGAAAGTATGGATACAAAAAAGCGATGTAAACAAAGCAAAATAAATGATTCGCTTTTGGAATTAGCTTAAATGTAACGCTCAGCTGTCTTAATTGTTATAATCAAAGCTAACCTAAACGGATAAAAACAGTTTCCGTGATTGTGTCATATTTAATTACAATCTAAAGGTGTGCTATATAAAAAACTGTCTATTTCTTCGTAAAGATGACATGGAAGGAAAAGAGCACGCGCCTGCCGGGTGTGAGGAATTTGTCCATTTTGACTTGCCGTAGTTTGAACATCACGGAAATCAGTGTATTTTTTTCCCCAGCGCAGTGTTGCCAGGACAGATTAGCACATCTTCACAAAAATATAAACTTTTAAACAAAAAATATCATCCGAAACCTAACTATAATCTTCAATATTTTTAAATTTATTATAAAAAACTATTTGTCAAAGTTAAACTAAATTCAAAACCTAAGCGGTTAGTAAGCGGGGAAAAAAAGAGGCTGAACTGACTTGAAGCAAACCACTTTCCAAACAGAACCAGCATGGAGCAGATAGAAGAGAAAGGCAACGCTTCAGGGATCTCAAAAACATCTAAAAAGAGTACGATCTGCTTTTAAAGTTTGTCTTGTGTTTGTGTATTTGTCCGTTCAGGTCACAACCCGCAAGATGCATCAGTTTCAATTACACTTTACTCTTTTGTGATGTAGCGAGTTTGATATCAAAATTATTCACTCAGTAAATTAGATAAATACGTGTTAACATTTATAGTATTCATATTATATTTAGGTATTTCCATGTGTTCCATGTGGAGGCTTTGACATGACATTACTACTATCTGCAAAATATTTTCAGTTCAATACAATTAGCCATCATTGTTGCCATAGATCCATGTGGGAAGAACTAATTACAAGCAATCAGTAATGTGTTTAATCCAACAACCTTTATTTTATATAGATATAGGTCCATAAAGAACAATAAACCTTATTTAAAATGTATGATGTTATTTAACCTGTCTCCTCTTCATGAACGTGTGCATACAATTGTTGGTTAGGAACATTTTAATTGTATGTGTTTCTGTGTGTCTCTGTCTCTCTGTGTTTCTCTTTCTGTCTTTGTGTCTCTGTCTCTCTCTCTCTGTGTCTCTGTATGTCTCCGTCTGTCTCTATGTGTCTTTGTGTGTGTGTGTGTGTGTGTGTGTGTGTCTCTCTCTCTGTGTCTCTGTATGTCTCTGTCTGTCTATGTGTCTCTCTATGTGTGTCTCCGTGTCTCTGGTCTCTCTGTGTGTCTCTGTCTCTGTGTTTCCATTAAAACAGCCATACCCAATGCAAATCCAGACTCATATTTCGACAAACTGATGCATTTCTTTTCACAGGTGGCAGAAAGTCGAAAGGATTCAGCGAGGAGGAAGAAGCCCGAAGGTATCTCTCCTGTTAATTTCTTTTTAATAATTTGAGGAGGCAACATTTTACGTTTGTGTGCGAGTGAACTGGTTTGTGTTTCCCTGGTCTAGGAGAGAGGCAGTGAAGGAAGCTCTGCGGGAGAAGCTTGATCTTGAGAAACGGGCGTTGCAGATTGTGGAGCGCCTTTTGGAGGACAGCGTGTCCGAGGACTTCCTTATAGATTGTGTATAACTATCACGACATATTTTTACATATTATTACTGCAGCCTTTGATAATATTTTCATACCCTCAGTTTTCTTTGTCTCATTTCAGGCATGGTTCATCACTCCTGCAAACTACAAAGACGCTATAGAGGAGAGGTCTATTGTCAAACTCTGTGGATTCCCTCTTTGTCCAAATAAACTGGGAAAGATCCCTACGCAGCAGTTTAAGATCTCCACCAAGACAAACAAGGTCTATGACATCACAGAGCGTAAGGTAAGTGTGGCTTTTAATGTGTAAAAACCATCATGAAAATAGTGACCGTTTCTTAGATAGTTTTGTTTTTGAATATTCTGTTTTTTTCAGTTATATTGCAGTAATTTCTGCTACAAAGCCTCCAAACAGTTTGAGATGCAGATATCAACTACGCCACTTTGGCTGCGAAATCATGAGAGGTGAGTCAATCATTAATACGGACTGATTAATAGATTTTAATAATTCAAGCAGAAACTATACATTGACAAGTATTTACAATATTTAAATTCCTTAGTTTTTGGCGATACTTTTGTACGGTGTTATGTTGCCTCCTGTGCCTATGATACACATGCAAATATATATATACACATTAATATACAATCAAACAACAGTATTTGCCAAAGCATCACCATGTGTTGGTCTATTTACAATTTCAATACGTATTTAAACATTTATTTCTATTCATAATTTGTCAGCTCAAAATGGAATGGGAAGTAAAAACTTAACTCCCACCCCACGATCATAATTAAGGACTTGGATATGAATTTAGTTGCTTAACATTGAATAATTATAACTTTATACTAATTTGTTGTGTTCAGTGCGATTTAACACTCTAATAAAGCTAAATTTGCAACAATGATCACTGGATGTATCATAACAGGATACAAATGAATAACAACAAAATGGACAAGGATTCTTTCTTCTTTTTTCTTTGTTTTACAAGTTAGTTGATCATTTCCAAAACAAAAAAAGTATATATATATATTTTTACCTTTTTTGTTAATCCCATTGCCGGAATTAAATTGACTCAGCTAACAGGGCCGATAAACAAAAAAAAAGTATCTTAGACAAGTTCATTGACCCAGAAAAGTGTGAGCAGAGTGACTCGAACAGCACTTTTTTTTAATAAGATACATTTTCATTTCAAGGAAAAACAGGGATTTGAAGAAAGGCTCCTCTTATTTATTTTATGTTAAGCTTTACATTTCTCAAAGACAAAGGTATGTGCGAATACTCGGTTTGTACCCACCGATAGCTCAAAATCTCATCTTTTAAATAAGCCATAGACGTAGCAGACAGAGACAGAGCCTAGCTAGAACATGGAATACTCTGGCTCTACAAAAGTCATACAAAATGGTCTAGATTACTTAGCTTCTGGGCCAAAGCTTCATGTGTTGAAATGCAAAAACTCTTCATGTTTTTAGTTGATCAAATACCTATAATCCTTAACAATTGAATATGATTTTTCCACAGCCCTCCCCAAATAACGTTAATGAAGAGAGGAGACAGGTTTTGTGCATTATTCTTACTATATTCTGTTTCAAATCCCATCCTTGTACACATCTTACATCTTACATTTCAACCATTTTGTGTCTAGTGGAAGTTCCGGGGAAGAAATCAAACTTTCCCAGAACCGTCTCCAGGAAGACGACGTGGAGAATCCTTCGCTCGCACAAACAGAAGAACCTGGAAAACCAGGAGCGAAAAGTGTCAATTCTGACAACAGCGACAACAGCGACGACAGCGACACCGAACAGGACTTTGTCTCGAGCGTGGTCTCTGCAAAAACCGGTCCCAAAGAAGTGCATTGGGGCGATCTGCCAAAATACGACAAAACGCAAAGTACGACGGACTGTGCGGACAGAAAAGGGGAAATAAATGGTAACGATGTAGCGGTGGATGAAGCTACGACGCAATTACATTCGTGCAGCTTGTCGGAGAAAACCTCTGAATCAAATGAGGCAGAAATTGAGGGAAAAATCAAATCTGAGCCAAAAAATGACCCCAGCAGAATCCAAGACACAGACGATACTAATATCAACATCACTCAAGTTGGAATGAGTAAAAAGGGCGCGGTCGGTCTGAGAAATCTACTCAAACAACACGGAACTAAAGCAGATTCAGTCCGACTCAAGCTGTTGGAAAGTTTGAAGACGACGCTGCGAGAATGGGCCACGGAGGAGACGCGGAGGGTTTTGTTCGGGTTCGAAGGTTCCGTGGGGAAGATTTCTGGAAGCGAGACGAAAACACAAAAGGAGGAAGAGGAGGAGGAGGAGCTGGACGAGGATGATCTGGAGGAGGAACAGGTCAATACACAACAATCTGAAATTTGTAATTCATTTTTTCTATAGGCGTGTTAAGTTATTAGGAATGAGGTTATTGGGAATTGGCAAAAATTAGACGATTTGATGGGATTGCGATAGTTGGGCCACAAATTCAATATCAATGCAACTCTTAACAGTAAAGTGATACATATTTATACTACTACAAAGTATTGTTTTGAGTTTACTATTAGAGATTTTGGCTTACTATTCTCATCTTCTCCTCTCCCTATACCAGAGGTCCGGAATCTGTGGCTATTTTTATCTTAGAATCTTTAAAAAATCTGACTGCTAGAAAAATCTTAGCATTAATAGTAAGAATGTTTTAGTATAGCTTCAGTATAACATTTTATAAAAAAAAAAAAAAAAAAGTTCTAATTCAAGACATCCATCCATCCATTTTCTTCCGCTTCATCCGTTGCCGGGTCGCGGGAGACTAGACTAGTATTTCAATCTAAATGTGTTGTTGGGCTGCACAATATATCAAAAAAATTCTTGTTATCGCGATATTGGTGCGTGCGATATCCATATAAAAAAAATGCGTGTTAAAAAAATTATTATTATTATTTTATTTTCCTTTCTTTCCTTTTTTGAAGGCAACAAAACAGACAGACGCAACAACATTCAACAAATACAACAATGTATATATGCATTTGAATGTCATTAATATTTTTGTTATTTATCTCTTGCGTTTAGGGCAGATTGCAATTTTAGGTGAAAGAAAAAAATATCGCAATAATATCGTTATCGCAATACTAAACACTCATATCGAATATCGCTCTAATTTCCCATATCGTGCAGCCCTAATGTATTGCTCTTGTTTTAAAAATCAGTTAAAAAGTTTCCAGACCTCTGCCCTATACTTTCTGTGTGGGACCCATCTCCAGCTAGATTCCTGTAACCCTTAAATGTTTTCAAATCCAGTGAAATATAAATGCATATTATACTAAATATAAGTTATTTTCAGACAAACCACATGTAGATCTTTTGCAGTGTGGAGAAGGAGGAGCAGAGGAGGCGACCGCAGCAGCACTTCCAGACTTCGAGACTCTGAAGAAGGAGACGGAACACATGAATCTCAGAGTGAAGGAGTTTTATAGAGGCACCTGGGAAGTGGCAGAGGAGCAGCGGGAAACCAGAACAGATACCAAGGTACCAGTACAAAACACACACATGGTTCAAATCACTGAAGTCGTCAAGTAACACAGAATCAAAGACAAGAAATGCAATGATAAAAAAATCAATGATATCGATCCATGAAGGGCAGATGACAAAATATACAATACAAGTAGTGTTGTAGATAATAATAATAATAATAATACATTGGTTTTATATAGCGCTTTTCACATTCAGACAGACTAGGGATGTAAATCGGTGACCGTTTAACCGGTGGTTGACCGTCACAGCGTTGACCGGTCAAAACTGTCGGTTAAAAAACAGAAAAAGGGGAGAGGGGAGGTCTTTTCATAACGCTATTTTAAGCCCTATTTGCACGATGTGACGAGCGGGTCCGTATCTAGCTGTGTGCGCCAATGTATCAGTAAACTCCGGGCCGACCCTCACGCCGCACGGGCCACATGCACACACACACTTTCGATACGTAACATCCACACGCATCATCTCTCCCCTCTGTTACCGTCTGCTAGTTGCACTGGTGCTGGTCAGAACTACATTGGAGCATATATTTACACACACATACATACACACACACACACACACATACATGTATTGTACACACACACACATACATGTATTGTACACACACACACATACCGGTCTGTCGCGCTCCTCTGCGTCACGCAGCCCAAAGCATTCTTGCAAATACGCGGCTCCAGTCAAACCACATGGACCATGTTTGTGCTGCTGGTCCTCGGCGTCAGCTCCACACACATCACTTTTAGACTTTAGCGGAGACCTGCGAGACGCGGCTCGTCACTCGCTGCTCTGACCATGTGGACGAGCCGTCTTTTGCTTAAAAATGCTTTAACCAGCAGCACAGAAGAATGGGAAGATTAAAAAAGCAGTTCTCTGTGCGCAAAGGTGCCGAAGCCGTTGTGGGTTTTGGCGCCGCTCTTGCGCCTCTGACCCAGTAGAACGCAGAGCTGCACTTATGAGAAGTACGCGGCTTGAAATGGCTGTTATTTCAAAGAACGTGGAATATTTTAAAATATGCGGTTAACCGGTTTCAACCGGTGGTCGGTCATGAAAATTCATAGTTTTTTACATCCCTAAGACAGACACACACACACATTCAGACACACACAAACTAGAAATCAAAAAGCAGGAAAGTTTAAACCAAGAGTAGTATATTTAGAGGAAGAGGTGAGTTTTAGCTGTTTTCTTGAAGGAGTTTAGTGAGTCCGAGTTTCTGAGGTGATGAGGGAGAGATTTCCAGAGAGTTCCAGAGAGTGGGACCAGAGACAAAAAACGCTCTGTCCCCCAAAGTTTTAATGTCTCGTGTTGATTTCTCCTATTGTTCTCCTTAAGGACCAATACAAATGTGTATTTTCTGTGTCTTAACTGTTGATTCTCTGATCTGTGTTTCTGATTTCTATGGTCACTGTTGTGCGAGTCAGGGCTATACAAGAATAAATTGTATTGTATTGTATTTGCTGGTTTGGCTGCTGTTCAGGAGCCGACCTCTGAAGGGATTGAGCCCGTCCTGCCGCTGGTCGACTCCAAAGCGCAGCACGTCATCCAGAAGAAGATCGTTGTGGACAAGCTCAGCGGATGGTAAAGCAGCATTTATTTTTATTTTCTACGTATTGCCCTCTGAGTAGACACTTCGGGACTACGGATGTAAATGTGCAGTTTTGCTCATTTCTGGCACATTTACAATTTGTGTACAACTTGTATATTATTATTTATTAATGTGTGTTGTCCTGATCAAATAAATGAGTAAATAAACTTACTAGGGGCTGGGAAAAAGTGACAATTTGAGAGTATTGTGGCTTGTTTTCCCATGTTACATCCAGCATTACGAGACACATTCTATCTTTTTTTCCACTGTGCTCCACTTGGGCCAAAACAGTAAAATTAAAACACAACAAAAATGAAAAAAATATTGCGATACAGCAAGTATTGTGATTTGATTCTGCAATATATTGCGATTCATGTCCCTCATATTGTTCAGTCTCACATTAAAAGAGCTTCCTGCACATAACTCAAATCATTCAAATACAAAAGACAAGAATATCAAAAACTAGACATAAATTATCAGCGTAAACTTGGAGAAAACAGATTTATTGAATTAAATATCACGATACTTTTCTCTACTGTATCGATTTCATTGCGTTTGATTATTTTGTTGCTCTTTTTGTGCCCTCAGCCTCAAAAACCTCGTTGGTCGACTCGGTCTCACTATGAACGACATCTCCTCTCATCTCAACAACCTGGTGCGGACGTTCAGGTCTGAAACTATCGCGTTACTTTTGGTACTTCCTTTTTGTAGTATTTGCAGTTTTTGCAGTACTACAAGTTTTTCCTTTCTTTTATAATGGGACTTTTTATGTTTTTGATTTGTTTTTAGTGTTTTGCAGCACTTTGTATGTGTTTTTGGTCTGCAGTCAGTCCAGGGTGCTTGTGCAGGCACATAAGTAAACAAGTACACAAAGTTGAGGTCTTGGGAAAAAAAATATCAGTTTTTAAAAAGCCTGGAATTTTAATTTGGAAAAAAAGCAAGCACCCTGCAGTCACAGTGGCTTCAGCCGTTGTTGTCTGAACTGGATTTGTTCAATTGTTTTACAGATTAAAAAAGGTTTGTTGCCCAGAATTCAAGTTAATCTGGTTGAATCAATTTACTTTATCTTTAGCCGCTCGGACGCCTCCATACAGTTATTTGTATATCACAATTCATATAAGTTCAATTCACAATTTGCCTTTTTAACAATGGAACAAATGTATTTTCAAAAACAAAAAGTATTTTCTGCTTTACTCCTCTGGATAAGGTTGTGATCTGCTGCCACCTAGAGGCTGAGGTCCCACAAGCGTGTTTCAGTCTCTGCCAATTAATAGGATATTCTTAACACATGTTTGATTGGATCCGCCTTCTCTATATGTTCTGCCTTAAAAACATGTGTGATCGGCCTCAAAGTCACTCTCTTCCCAACACATCAGACTAATGTTTAGAAATAGCACTTCTGAATCTGTAGAGCTCTGTTCACATCCCACTCATAAATCTTCATATATCTGACTTCTATCGTTGTGTGTTTCTAGATTCAGCAACACAAACATCATCCACAAGACCCCAGAGTGGGCCGTCCTCGCTGTGGTCCTGCTGCATCTGTAAGTCTCTAAACATTGTGTCCATTTTAACAATAATTAAAGGGTAACTAAAGTCAGACTTTCTCAGATTTTTTCTGTGTTAAACTTGTGTTATAGCTGTTTTTACCTCATCATTGACGTCTTTTTTGATGTTGTTTTTTTTTTTTTTTTTTTATATTGTTGTAATTACGTCCCGCCGTTGCTCTCCCCTCAGTCCTCTGCACGTACTACGCAACCCCTTCCTTCGGGTTTTACTTTACAAATGTTCTTCTCTGAATCTGTGATATGGAGAATTTTCCCACCTTTCGCAGTATTTTTTTTGCCTGGCCTGCCAGACACTCCTCCTTTCTGTTCAAAAGAAGAACCGTCTGGACACCTCTTCCTAGCCTATCATTTCACGATTTTACCCACATCGGTCCAATCACGCACCGAGAGGCGGGACTTCCTTTCACCTAGAGGCGGAAGCAAACAACGGAATTGAGTTGCTAATAACTCCTCGTATCTTTAAGTTTTTGTTACAAAATCGACAGCAGTCGTTTACATTTGCACTAGCTGACATGCCGCCATCCCTTGTTTTGTGTTTACTGAAACGGCTTGGGTGCCGCTAGTTGCTGCGTCATATCCTGTGTGCATCTAATTGGTTGATGCAGTCTGTCAACCACGCCCACCGGGAATTCGCTGAGATCAAGCTCGTTCCCAGACTATATGTCTTTGAAAAAGCATATCGTTTGGCAGGCCAGGCAAGTATTTTTTTGCACCAACGAAGAAAACATAATCACCTCGTAAATGTCTTCATGAAAAAATCTAAAGGCCAAAAGACCAAAAGCTTCAAAAAGCTTTTGACGCGCTTCAACTGACGCCGGGATAGTTTTGTCATTTTGGTGCTTGAAGCTTTTGACGCGAGTGACGCGCCTGACGCCGGTGGGAGGAGCTTCTCTGTTGTCTGTTGTCAGGACAGCGGTGGATTTTTCAATGAGCAGCGAGCCTTTATTTGGTATATAAAGCAAAATAACGTTGTTGTAGGGCTTCAACAAAACATGTTCTGGGTTCACCACAGACTTGAGAGGCTGCAGTGTTTGCAGAGTTCCGTCATTTACTCCAGGAGCTGCGTACGGAGGAGTTTCGCTTTCAGCGGTACTTCCGCATGTCACTCGCCCAGTCTGAGTTCTCAAACCCCGGAGCTCGCGTCTCCCCTCCTCGCTCTCGCCTCTCCCTGCCTCTCCCCGGCTCTCGCTCGCATCTCCCCGCCTCGCTCTCGCCTCTCCCTGCCTCTCCCCGGCTCTCGCTCGCCTCTCCCCGGCTCTCTCTCGCCTCTCGCTCGCCTCTCCCCTGCCTCTCCTCGGTTCTCGCTCGCCTCTCCCTGCCTCTCCCCGGCTCTCGCCCGCTCGGAGCTGCCTTGCTCTGAGCCAGACTCATCGTCAGCCTGTTCTTATTTTAAATAAACTACGTTTACTACACAGCATGTATACAATGATTTGTGTTACTCAGAATGTTACTACTCATACAAATAATATTACTAATAACAATAATGACAATAAAACAGCAGCAGTAGATACATGACTTCTCTTCATGACAGAGACAGACCCTCTGCTGCTGCTGCTCCTCGTCTCCTGATTGGTTGAAGCCCGCGTCAAAGCTTCAAAAGCTCAGCTTTGCTCAGCTTCGGCGTCAAAGGGATTGTTGTGATACGCGAGCGTTTCGCGCGTCAAAAGCTTCAAGTGAGCGCGTAGTACGCGCGACTCTTGAAGCTTTTGACGCGCGTCAAGTGACGCCGGGGCTCTCGGCTTCACCTGACGCACTTCACCATTCACTTTCAATGGAAACCTGACGCTTTTGACGCCGAAGTTAAGTCCGGTGTGAACGCCCCTTAAGTGTATGTTTATTATTTTCCGTAACAATTCTCTGTAACTTTGTAGTTGTTTTTCAGATAAATCCAAAATATAAATGGTCACAAAACGTTCAAAGGTTGGATTAGTATGTTGTATGTTTGGCGGCTGTGGCACCACCTGCATGTCAAAGCCAGATCACAGCAGACCTCTGAAGCGAAGCAAAGCAGGGCCTGGTTAGCACAGTGATGGGAGCCACAGCGGGGTCCTTCAGTTCACCCACATTACCTAGAATGAGTCTGGTGGTGGTGGGAGGGGCCAAACGCACACACTGATTGCCTCGCTTCTGTCAGTTCGCCCCAGGGCAGCTGTGGCTAGAGTAGTAGTTTATCACCACCGTGTATGGAGTGAAAGAATAACAACATGTGAAGTTTCTTTGAGAGTCCAAAAAACCCCTATCCAGTATTAACCAATGCATCATTATGACCGTATTTTTCGGATTATAAGTCTCAGTTTTTGTCATAGTCGGCCGGGGTCAACTTATGTGTGAAATTATTGCATTTTATCGTCTAAATTTAATATTGTGTTTACCGGGCGATTAAGTTGAGTGATTAGGCTATTAAGAACATCAAAAAAGAATTAAGAAATGTACTGGTACTTGATTCCATTGTGCAGTTAAGGACTATAGCCTTTGTTGTGTTGTAGAACTAGACTATTTATTTGTATTACCCACATTTTTGCTCCTACTCATTCAAAAAAACATCAAAACTATCAAAACTGCATCTCACAGATAATTGACAGTGAAATTGACTCAATAAGAAATGTCTATTCTTGGTGTTGGATACTTGTTATGCTCTGGTGCAGGGGTCTCCAACTTTTTTCAATCAGAGAGCTACTGTTATTCAACAGAAGAGGCAGAGAGTCCTTTTTGCAGTCATTATACAGATCTATGTAATAATTTTGACCAAACAAGGAAAACAGAAGTTAAAAAAAATACCGTAGTACTGTATAACATTATTTTTATATTTATATTAGATGGGTAATGACTAAAAAGTGAATCCTTCAAAATCATGTGTTAAATTCTAAATCCTTTGGCAAGCTACCTGGAAGGGGCTGGCGAGCTACTGGTGACTCTCGAGCAACAGGTTGGAGACTTATACATGTTTTTTTTCTTGTTTGTTATGCATTTTCGGCTGCAACGACTTAAAATCCCCAAAATACAGTATAATTTTTAATTCTAAACCCACATCTTTCAAACACGTCACATTTAGATATTTGGACCCAAAATGGCTCCGCCCTTTGCAGCTGTTTGTTACCAGCTATAAGTGCCTCCCTATAAAATATTCACCTCTTTCCTCTGCTGCCACTTTTCTCTTTCCCAAATCACAAAGTTTTCAATAGAATTTCAATGAGCATCAGTGGGTCTCGAGTTTCAAACCACGCCGCCTCAATCACAGTTGGTCCTCAGTCTGCCGTCAGCTCGGTCTTTGTCTCTGCCCCAAAAAAAAGTAAAGTCGGTTTCTTTTCCGTCGGCAGCCTGATAGTGCGCGGCGACCGGGCTTTTGTCTGCGCTGCCATATGGACTGGACGCCGCGTTGGTTCTTATCTGGGTCCTGATTGTAGCGGGACTATATCCGTGTGGCTGTTGTAAAGACCTCTGTGTCCACAAAGCGTCCACACACGGCTGGGAACGGCTCACCTGAGACAAACAATGGGTTTAGACTGTGTCCGGGAATATGGAATAGTTCTGTTTTTGCACTGATTGAATTTAGGAATGATCCAGGACACTCCATATTTAACTGCATTTATAAACATTTATGGACATTGGTCTCTGTCTCTTATAGACATCATTGCATTTCTTCAAATTCAGATTCATTTTATTTGCCATGTGCAGTATAAAAACCACATTGGAATACATTTGCAAAAAAAAGGGTACTCCGATACAAGGGGTAAAACCAGTGGGGGCGGGTCCTGGCTCAAAAGTGGCCAAAATGACGTGCGCTGACATGCTGCAGTACCACCCCGGGCCGATGGGGGTGGACCCAGAAGAAGAATTAGCCAATGCTAACATATAGCGTTGGCAGACCTCTCGAAAACGTCTTTACAGGATGGACCAAAAGTTGGCTCTTGGCACAAAGCTCCGTTCCACATGTGTGTCAATGCTGAGGGGGGTGGATTTTTTTGGTCCACTCTAGTTTACTTGCTGTGAATTTTTGAAGTCTCTCGTTCAAATGAATGGAGTTGCGCCGGCTGACGCATGCGCAGATGCGTTTTTTCACAATTTTCTTGTGGGCGGGACCACTCGCGGCCATTTTGGATTGCTCCAGTAGAGCACATTTTTTGGCCCATCAGTTTGAACGGCAGAGATAGGCGTGACTCTGTCCGTTAATATATACAGTCTATGGGTAAAAGCAACAATTAAAGTGCTCTGTTTAGACACCTAACAGCTTGTGGAAAGAAGCTGTTAGCATAGCGAGGTGTCTTGCATCTCAGCGACCGATGGAAGAAGCTGGAACATGGCTTTACCAGGGTGGCAAGAAGAGTCACTGATGATTTTAAGAGCTTGATTTCTTGTGTCTGAACTGTTTGATTCTCTGATCTGTGTTGGAGAGGTGACAGCTGTTGTTATTTAGGGCTGTATAAGAAAACGTTGAATTGAATTAAATTGGTGTGAATATGTAGTTCTGAACAGGCGTTAAAACTGGTTTATCCATGGTTTTGCACCAATATTTCCAGAGATTTTTGTCCCACTCATGGATTGTGGTTGGAGTAAGGCAAGTTTATTTGTATCGCACAATTCATACACAAGGCGACTCAACTGCTTAACGAAACAAGATGGAAAGAATCACACAAAGCATAACATTATCACAGTATATTAGACCCTGTGAGTCACTACTTGACTCTTTGGGCTGAAAGCTGATTGGCTGCCGAGAGTGGTCCTCTCCTCTTTCACTTTTGGGTTTGGAAAAGCCGATCTAAAAGAGCTGATATGTGAAAAAGACTGAAAGAACCAGAGCAAGGAACAAGGAAGATGGATTTTTACGTTATTTTATATTTGCTTTGATTGTGATATTGAAAGTTAGGTACCTCAGCTTTAAAGGTGACGTCAGCAACTTACTTTTTACTGTAAAAAAAATTGTAAACGAATGCATTATTTTACCAGATGATCTCTTGGCATAACCACCACCAGTTTGT